CATTCGGCTACGGAGAGGATCTGCGCACTGGTCTGTTTCTGGGGTGGCCTAGCCGAGCCGTTCAGAGCCCTTATGCCATTCTGGCACCCCGAGGAGGCACTGGAGGACTACGTCAACCTGGCTCTGCAGTTGAGCGGCTCAGCCATCAGGATGGAGCTGGCTGCAGAGCCTGCTCACAGTTCTCCCGTGGCGGCCATCCCAGGATCGTCAGAGACCTCGTCTGCTGCACCCAGTACCTCCCGCCCATTCCTGGAGCATCGCGGGCTGGTACGCAGCGTGCAGGAACCTCTGCTGATGTCGGTGCGAGCGGCGTGGTCTGCTCGCAGAGTTCCCGAGGCAGCGGTGTCTGCTCGCAGTGCCTCCGAAGCGGCAGTGTCCGCTCACAAGGCTCCGGAAGCGGCGGTGGCCGCTCTCAGTTTCCCCGAGGCGGCGGTGGCCGCTCTCAGTTCCCCCGAAGCGGCGGTGCCCACTCACGCTCACAAAGCTCCGGAAGCGGCGGTGTCCGCTCACAAAGCTCTGGAGGCGGCGGTGTCCGCTCTCAGTTTTCCCGAAGCGACGGTGCCCGCTCACAAGGCTCAGGAAGCGGCGGTGTCCGCTCTCAGTTTCCCCGAGACGGCGGTGCTCGCTCACGATGTTCCCGAAGCGGCGGTGTCCGCTCACAAAGCTCCGGAAGTTCTCCCGTGGCGGCCATCCCAGGGTTGTCAGAGACCTCGTCTGCTGCACCCAGTACCTCCCACCCGTTCCTGGAGCATCGCGGGCTGGTATGCAGCGTGGAGGAACCTCTGCTGATGTCGGTGCGAGCGGCGTGGTCTGCTCGCAGAGTTCCCGAGGCAGTGGTGTCTGCTCGTAGTTCCCCCGAAGCGGCGGTGCCCGCTCATGAGGTGCTCGAAGCGGTTGTGCCCGCTCACAAGGCCCCAGAAGCGGCGGTGCCCGCTCTCAGATTCCCCGAGGCGGCGGTGCCCGCTCGCAGTTTCCCCGAGGCGGCGGCGCCCGCTCCCCAAGCTCCGGAAGTGGCGGTGGCCGCTCTCAGTTTCCCCGAGGCGGCAGTGCCCACTCACAAGGCTCCGGAAGCGGCGGTGTCCGCTCACAAGGCTCCGGAAGCGGCGGTGTCCACTCTCAGTTTCCCTGAGACGGCGGTGCTTGCTCATGATGTTCCCGAAGCGGCGGTGTCCGCTCACAAAGCTCCGGAAGCGGCGGTGGCCGCTCTCAGTTTCCCCGAGGCGGCGGTGCCCGCTCACGATGTTCCCGAAGCGGCGGTGTCCGCTCCCAGTGCCCCCGAGGCGGCGGAGCCCGCCATTGCCCGTTCCGGGGAGGCAGCTCCACACACACCGCTGTGGTGGCCGCTGGTTCTGCCCTGGGTCCCCATCCCGCCGGCTCTGCCCCAGTCCCCAGGTCCCCCTCTATCACACGGACCTGGACCCCCCATCCCTCCCCCTACTCCACCCCCGCTCTGCCGTCCCCCTGGTTGGGCGCTCTGGAACGTCTGGAAGCCGTTCCTTAGAGGAGGGGTCCTGTCAGGGTCTGGCGTCTGGTGTTCTCCCTCTCACCACCAGAGGTCGCCATCTCCCATCCTCCCGGACTCCTTTTCCGTCACCTTGACTCCACACACCTGTGCACACACTCACTCACACAGCTGTGGCCCATCCTGAGGGCTATTTATGCGCCTTCCCCACGCCACTCGGGGCGGATTATTAATGATGGTGTGTAGTTGTACTACTGGTTGTGATTGTAGTATCGTGGACTGATGCAAGCCAGAAGTGGCCGTATTGCATCAGAGTCCATTTTCTGTTCAAGCCTGTCTCAGAGTCTTAGCTCTGTTTGTTTTCTGTTTTTTACCTTTGTTTTCCCTGGCAGTCAATAAAAGCCTGCATTTGGACCCAGACCCTTGCCTACACGGTGTGTTTTCCTAACCGCGCCGTGACATATACTTGCAAGGCAGTAAAGGGACAGTGATACATTTTTATATAACTCAACATGCATCTTGATTTCATTTGGCTGCACAAATGAATTAAGATGGTCATTATGCATTGCAAAGGTGGCTAAAATAGTTAAATATATATGAAATACATATGAATTAAGCAACACCGATCACAATTTACTATTTGAAGATATGAAAAAAATATTATTTAGATATATGATATATGAAAAAAGATCAATCACAATTCAGTATACAAATATGACAATGATGTCAGCATTACCAGTTGCATTTTTAAACATTAGTATTGTAAGTGAACTGAAGATTTTCAACAGTTAAAATTAAAGGTATAACGATTTAAAATCAAAAACAGATATAGCCAGAAACAAATATATTTATTTTGGTAACAGCAGTTTCATCATAAAAAAAAAAAAAGGACAAATTATGGGTAAGAATGTTATCAATATAGAGTATCCAGTTGTGGTGTGCAGTCAATCTCACATTTGGTATTTCTCAACAACAATGACAATCGTGTTGCCTAATGAGTGAATATAGTGCATGTGTTACCTAAATGAATGAGTATATCCTCTGTCTAAAATAAAGTGAGACCGTTATTAGACCCACTTTTGTAAAAGTATATGACACAGTCTCGTAATGTCAGGTCACATGCATATTTGTTACCAGCATGTCTGATGATATTTAGGGCAGCTACACACCGCAAAGTTTTGGTACTGAGAAGTGCAGTTAAATGAAGGGAATTCCCTCATTTATTATTATATATAATTATAAATCCAAGTATCATGCAATTTGTACCGCACCATTCTCTGTAACTATGTCATTAAAAACTTTACTTTAAAAACTTGTGCACTATTATTATTATTGTTCATAGTGAACAACAACAATAATAATACTATTATTGTATATATGATTATTAATAATATGTTCTTTTATCAAAGATGATGTGGGGGCAATTTTAGGAAATCATCCGGGTATTGTTGTAGTGCTAGGCCATTTGAAGCTTCTCGTAAGTTAGCAATTTTGTAATCTATTGAGCTTTTTTAGTCAGCCAGTGCATGATGACAAGGTGCATACAGGTGAGCATAATGTGACACATTTTCTCATAGTCGTGACAACTTTTGTTGGTGCATTTTGAATGAACTGTACACAGAGATCCAGAGAAACATCAAAGCATTACAGTAATCCAGTTTTGAGGAGAAACCAGAATGTGTATTTATAACCTCATTACATTTACTACATTACGTAATCGACAACTCATGGGTGTCTGGCTGTAAAATACACGTTTGTCTGGGTCACATGTTTTGATAATTAATTTCATACACTAAATGTTATATTAGCTGACTTGAGGTTTAGTCCAGTGAAGCAAATATGTGTTGCTTTCCTCTTGATCCTTATTTTTGTGCATTCTATGCAAATACTACTTGATTATCATTAAAATCCTTAGTAGCAGCACTAATTCCATTATATAATTACAATCCAGCCCTTAATTGGTGAGAAATTAGGTTGTTGATTAGTTACATAATTCCTTAATAGTTAATAATCCAATCACAGCCATGAGAATAGCTGCCCAATTTATACTATTAGTCTGTTAATATTCAACCCTCATTTAATTAATTCACTTTAAATAAAGTGATATGCTTTTAATTGCTAAAAGCCTTACTTGCTAATTGAATAGACTGTTTAGGGACACTATCTTAATGACTATGGTCTGACATTCTCTTCAAAGCCTATTTTATATTCATGGAACCACAAGGTTAGTCAGCTGAGGCTGAAATCTCTTCTCTTCCTCTCTGGTTCATTTGTGGTTAACATTTTGTAAAGCGATCTCTTTGGAGGAACTTTGGGGTTGGGGGTGGTAAGGCAGACAGTGTGCTTTAATGGTAATCTTTTTGCGGCATTGCTCACAAAAAGAAGATAACGATCTGAAGAAGTTATTTATAAATTATATTTTATTACATATTTTGACCATATCCTATGTTAACATACCACAAGACTATTTGTTGTACCTGGTTACAGCAGCATAAAAACTCTAGAAAAATTGTCGTTTGATGTTCCATGAAAAATTAAAATAAAATGAATAAATAAAATAATTTTTAAATAAAAATAAAAAGTAATTTTTACAAATAAAAGCAGGGTTTGGAACAGCAAAAATACATACATAACATAACAAACATTTTATTTCCCCCCCTATAGTTCATTTAGTTTCTTTAAGCTTCTTTATAATATCCAGTTGTGGTGTGCAGTCAATCTCACATT